TTGGGGTCGATATTGGGTCCCCCTATTTAGGGAAACTACCACTTGGAAGGTTACTGCTTGATATTTGCTCTTCTGCAGGTGGGGTAGGTCACCCTGCATTCCGCTCTTTTGGACGGTGCAATTAGATTCTGAGTTTCCGCTCAGTTCAGGGTTTGGTGTTGAAGAAGGCATAGCGGCTTCATTGAGTTGGAAATGCATTACTGGCAAATCATGATAGCCTGATCATCAGTGTCAGAGATGGTGGTAAATACTCCGGCCAGGCTCCCATCCATATTTTTAAGCCCATGCTAAGGGCATTCGGCCATGGATCATTTGCACACGGTTTAGGGGGGGTGGGGGGGTTATGCTTAATGATAAAAGCACACCCAGAATTCAATCATTCTGCTGCACGTACTCAGCTGAAGAGCAAATGGGTGACGTCTCGCACAATCGCCATAGCAACTCCTCTTTCCACACTGGTGCTCCCTGGAGCTCTAAACAGGGCATCCTCCCGCCAAGAATATGGCTAGCATGACCAGCTTCAGTTGACATCTATGGCGCTAACAGAGGGCCCCTCAGCTTGACAACGATCCAAGACGCCAAGTCATTGAACCTGTCAGATGCCTGCCAATACATTTGAGGATAATGGAAAAGAAAATGGAAACTACTACAGCGAACACCGCTGGATGCCTGCGGAGTCTGTTCGTCAAGAAGACGCCTTGCAGTCATCCCTTGGGAAGCTCATCATGTACTTCCATGGCATACATGCTACATAGGGAAGAATGTGTATGAGACCCCCCACCCTTGCAGGTTGGCAAGAAGCTGAAGACGGAGGATGGGTACTGGCATTTTGCGATTCAGATGTAGAATCTTAAAGCAGAGGGGGGGGGTGTTCTGCTCTTGGGGGCTTGTGGGTTTTAGGGGTCGAGGTTGGGAGGTGAAGCTGTACCATCAGGTAGTGAGGGTATTTGAAGGGAGGTCAGGCTCAAAGTATGGACGGGAACAGGCTCAGCCCTGATTCAGCCCTGCTCACCATTGTCACCCTAAACTCCTATTAGCACCTCGATCCACGTGGAATCCAGTTTGGATCAACTTGCTCTTAGTGGGTGACGTCTCTAGGGTAATTCAAAACGGGGTAGAACTGTCTTCAGTTCTCTCAGTGATTAGCATCAGTTCTCTAAGTGATTAGCATCATTTGTAAATCCCACTGATGGGAGCAGGGGGAAGCGTAAGACTGTTCGGCTGCTGGATATTTGCCCACAATTCCTGGCAATGCAAAGGGTACCCAGCATACCTATGCATACACTTCCAGGCAGTGCAGTCATGCAACTGAGTTTATCAAATCACTCTTGATGACGGGAGCTCCCAAAACCATGGCTGTATTGTTACTGGTGGAGAGCGTGTTTGCAGCGTAGAGCTGCCAAGCCCAGGGCAGGCATATTATGGAGGAATGTAGGAGGGCATATTGAGTCAAGGGGCCCTTTGCCTTCATTTGGGTTGTTGGAACCTCTTTAGACTAGAGTTGCGCGCATTTGGGTTTCAGCAACCTTCTTTTCTCATCCCCACAAGCGCCCCCATGAATAGCAGGTGTCCGGCATTTACAGCGGCTGAGAATCATGGAGCCTAAACATGTCGCCCCTTTGTCATGTTGTACAGGGCAGTGGGCGCAAGGAAGAGAGGACGTCTCTCCAAAACACAGGTGTTTGGGTGCTGCTACTATTTGATCTTCTGACTTTGGGTGTTATTCCAGAGTTTTTTCGTGTGGTTACCTTCTTGTTGCCAATAAGCCCGCAGGGCCTGAAAAGAGCCATGTTCGCTCCTTGCTTGGAACTGAACGTTTTCCGCTAATCATGATTTTAGGGTATCGTAGTATAGTTGGGGTTGCCCAAAATTAGGGGTACCTTTGGGGGTCCCTACAATAAGAACTAAAATATTTTGAAATCTATATTGGGCTCTCCCCTAGAAACCACCAGTCTAGCCATCTGGTCTCACACCAGACGTTCTTCAATTGCTTGGGCCCCTAGATTTTCTTTATCCCTATATAATCCCTATATAACCCCATCGTAGTAGTTTCCATTTTCTTTTCCATTATTCCAGTATAAACCCTATGTAATCTTCCCTTGGGCCCACTGCCCTCAAGAACATGGCAACTAGCGGGGATGGAGTTGCTCAAGACCGCGCGGCCATCGCTCCGCAGCAATAAAATTCCCAGCAACCGCTTCCGTTTGCGGATAGGCTGCTGCCAGTACTGCGCGTCCGTTTGCGGATGACTGGCTGGTTGCGGCTGGTTGTTGTTGATCTCATCTACATAGATCAAATCACAAACTGTGGACTGAGCATCGAAAGCCGCCCAGAGAGAACTGCGTACTAAGAATCCCGAAGCACCTCCACGCACCCAACATGTCCTTGCAAGAGCCCACATACACACATCCATACAGACAGACACACACACACAAAGACCGATATATATGTCGAAGTGCATATTTGGCATCAGGGCCTTCCAACTTCGACCTGTTTCCCACGCAGCCTCAAAGATCAGAGCCAAGCAGCGCGGAAGCGGGCGCAGGGAAGGCAGCCGTTTGTATACCCCCAAGTAGTAAGACCCCACATGGGACCCCCCAACAAAAAATACGCAATTTGGAGAAGGCCCCATTGCAGGAGGAAGTCCCAACCTGAGTTCTTCACTGGTCAGAAAGTCCGTAGAGATTTGTTTGTTGGCTACATAATCCCAAAAAAGTTCGGCAACATTTGATTCTGATGCTTTAAAGAGGAGCAACAGGGCAATATCGTTGAGTAAAGGACCTGATGGGGTTCTCTGTAGCCGCAAGGCACCCCTCCGTATAGACTCCCGGGCCTGCAGACCCACAAATATGATGGAATGAATTTGAAAAGGAGCATGAATCTGCCGCTGCCCCCCGAGTACCTGCCTCCCTGGCGCTGAGATGTACCCATCAGCCACTGAGCAGGGTTCTCAAGTGGCGGTCCTGAACAGTTCTGGAGTGCCGCCTGCTAGAAGCCCTGGAAGCGTCCGGCTCCCGTAGGCTCTCAAAACGTCGGACCTCAAATACCCCAAAAAACTGGGCCAAGCACTTGGGAACCTTGGTGCCATTGAGTGCTTGGGAGCTGAATGGCTACCAGAGAAGCGATATGGAAGCCTGAAGAACAAGGAACCAACATTCTTCCTCATCCTGGTACTTTGTTGCACATGCCCCAAAACCACGGTGACTAATTAGTCCCATGCATTCAGACGAACTAGGAATCCGTCAATCTGTCACATTGGTAGAGGTGGGGATGCAGGCAGAAGGCGGTGTCGTAGAGGTTAAGTACAACTCTGCAACTTTAGCAACGGTCTCAGGTTTTGATAAGAACAGCAGCAGCGATGCTAAAGCTACGAGCGATCTTCTCGTAAGGATGAGTTGTCCATCAACTCCCAAACCTTGCTCGATCAGCCATTCGGGAGTTTATGAAATGCCAGGAGGCTGCTCCTACGCCCAAAGTGAAAGACAAGCAGTGATATGCATCCTGTATATGACTTGAACAAGAGACCCATAATCTTGAGAAGCGTTTGGCCTGAGTCAGAACACGTACTTAACATCCCGTATCTCCGAGCAGGGTTTTCCCCAAAATCAGAA